CGTGCAGTCAGAGGCAACAAGCGAGCCCAAACATTTGAACTTGGAACACTGCTGCACTTGACCACCGCGAAGGGAGATCACCGCGGGCAAGTTCTGTGAGCTTGGGCCTGCAGCCCTCATAACCTCGGTTTTGCCCAGCGCCACCCCTGTCAAAAGCATGAACACCGCCCACGCTTGATTGCATCACAATTGTTCAACGCCATCCAAACATACCCCCATTCCCACAGGCCGACTGCGCGCCAAGCATCACAATCGCGATGCAGAGGGGCGCGTGCCTTGCGGCGGGCGCCGCCTGTGGCGCTGACGCGCCCGGGGCCGTCGTCGCGGCCGTGTGCCTGTCGCTGCTGGCCGCGGAGCTCACGTATGCGAACAGGGGCCGCCCCATAAGCAAGGATCTCAGGCAAGCCGATGAGGCAGGCGGCGGCCTGATCCTGGGGACCTCGATCGACTTGTATCACGGCTGCTGCGGCAGCGCAGGCTGCAGCAGCGGCTGCGGCGGCGGGTGCGGAGGCGGCGGCGGGTGAGGTGCACGCGTGTGACTCTGGCCCTACCTCGGCTGTCCTCAGGCGCCAGAAACGTCTCAGGTATCCATCATTTACATTTTATGGCAGGCATGCAGAACACATCGGACTGCATGGCTAGTCACGCGTGCACAATGAGTAGAGAGAAAGCAGCCAGTGGGCCGGCAGCGCTCGGGAACTAGGGGAGCCAGTCGCCCCGTGCACCGGCCCACAACCAGCCTGTTGGCGGGCTGAGAGCAGTTGGCGCGTTATGAACGGCAGTGCTTGAAAGGCACACACTGTGGACAAGAACAGACAGCATTCCCCATGCACAAGTGCGACTTTTGTGCGACTTGTGGGGCACGCGGCGGCCGCCAAGCCGCTGAGAGACGCCACACTGCTCAGCACACACGCTTGCCGCTGCTGCTCCGAGGCAAAGGCGGATGGCCCTGCCACGCTCGCGTTACGAAAGCACAGCCAAAACTACGCACGAGACACAACAGAGGAGAGTTGATGGCGGTGATGGGATACAAACCGCGACAGAGACTCCGTACGGTGGACACGTGGGAGAAGTCCGTCAGCTGGGTGTGAGCAGGCGGGGTGCCGCGGCGCCCTCTGCGCGTTGCGCGCACGAGAGCATCACACAACCATATGCTGCCTGCCAAACACAGCATACAAACAGCACTTGGGACAACGAGTAAACTCCAACACAAACAGGGGCACAATCGCGGGCCCGCGGGCTCGGCACTGGATTGACTGATTGCAAGCGCATGTGGTGTGAGGTATGCGCTTGTTTGATGCTGCGGCGGGTGAGGTGTAATGTTGTTCCCGGGTGTTATACTGAGTGTTGCTGTCTCATGGACCGAATCATCATAACTCGGCTTCTCAAAGCCAGCCTGTGGTGATGTAGGATGTGGTGTGTCGCTGGCGCACGTCGTACTGCCTTTGTCGCCGTCTCAAGCGCGTGATGTGGCGCGCATGCTGGGGTGTGTGTGGTGTATGGTGTGTGGTGTGTGGGACGGCTTTGCCCAGGCTCAGAGCACAAATTCGCCGCATCCCGTTGAAAACAGTGAACGGGAGCGCAGACAGCAGGGAAAGCAGTGGGGTGGCGCTGCCGCCTTGAGGTGCATACAAGTGTGTTATGGGACGCCTGAATGTACAGGGCCCGCTCTGGCTGCCAGCAAACGGCAGCCACAGCGCGAATGTTGGAGTCGCAAGCCCACAGAGCCAACACGGGACCCTTGCTCGAGGCCAGAGCAGGTGTTGTGCGGCACATGTGCGGAGGGTTTGTTTCCAAACCTGTCAGGCGTTTGGGCGAAGACGCAGGGGCCCATTGGGGAGCGCCACAGCACCTGCCCATAGGCCGCGCCAAAATACAAGATGAGATCGACACACCTAGGTGGAAAGAAAGGAGGTGCTGGTGCACCGCCGCTACGACTGCCTTGCAGCCGGACCCATGCTCGCTAATGGTGACCGTCTTCACCCTGTCGGCGGGTGCCTATATGCACTGGACCCCGCTTGAAGCGCCCCAAAGGGGGGAAGGGGGTGGGGTGGGGGAAAGATGCTTGCGTCGCGATTGCGCCGCCGCGTACAGCCCTTGCTGGCGGCTCGTCACACCTCAGCGGCCACGGCCTGCACGGCAGACCGCTCCTGCCCCTGCGCGGCCGGCACCCGCTCGGTGACACGCATGTGCAGGCCGTTGGTGGGTGCAAAGTTCATCGTGATGTCATAGCCTACAGGGATGAGCTCGTTGGTCGGCCTGCGGGCGTAGTGGGGCGCGATTGTTTCCTGTGAACAGGTGCCTGCGCGAGGCTCGCGCGCAAAAAGGCACAAGCAGAGCCGCCTCACATTTGTGCGTCAAGCTTGATCCCAGTCATTGAGCCCCCCGGGCCGCATCACTGTCACGCTCGGACGCTGCCACATGCCTCCGCCGCCCCCCCACCCTCGCCCCAGGGCGCCCGCGCCCAGGTCACCCCCAGCTTGCCCTGCGCCGCGTCCCGCGTTTCGGCGGCGGCGGCGGCAGCACACCTGACCGGCTCGAACCGGAGGCGCTGCAGGAGGGTGGCCACCATCAGGGACACAGACATCTGGGCAAACCCTGCGCCCAGGCACATGCGGGCCCCGGCCCCGAAGGGCAGGAACTGGAAGCGGTGGCGCGCGGCCTCGGCCTCGGGCGAGAATCGGGCGGGGTTGTAGGTGAGGGGGTCGTCCCAGAGGGCGGGGGAGCGGCCCAGGGCGTAGGACGACATGAAGACCACGTCACCTGGTGACGTATGGCGTAAGAGGATCGTGGTTTTGGTGATTGGGATGATAACCCGGGCTGGTGGGCTGGCGGAGTGTGTGATGCGCCCCTGGCGCGCGTCTGCATGCAGCGCGGCCACTCAGGACTTGTCCACCCGCAGGCCTCCCAAACATCGTGCAGACAGGACCGCCATGCTTGCGCTGGCATGGAGCGTCTAGGTGCACTCCCTTGAACGGCGATCAGAAGCAGCTGCTCACACACGCAATCACTACCATGGAATCCCCCTGCTCTCCCCCTTCTCTCCAGCCCCCTTCTTGCTCTCCAACCCCCCCTCTTGCTCGTGCGTATGCGCACACACTAGTGGGTCAACGCACGCATGCACGCACGCACGCACACACACACACACACACACACACACACACTTGCCCCTGGCCCCCTGGCCGCCCGTGCAGCGCACCCTTGCTGACGGGGTGGCCTGTGGGCAGCGCGTCATCCACGGCTGCCTCCCGGGGGAACACTGGGATGGCGGGGTACAGCCGCAGCGCCTCCTTGATGCAGGCCTGCATGATGTGGCGCGTTGTTGCGCATTGTTGCGCGTTGTTGCGCGTTGTTGCGCGTTGTTGCGTATTGTGGTGGTGGTGCGCACGGCCGTAGCCGCGGATATGCTTCTGCCTGCGCAGAAAGTGCTGGGTGCAATCCTGCACCCTGCGCCGCTCGCGGTGCACCCGAAGAGCTGAGAACTGGCCCTCAGGGCAAGGATTCGCATGCCACGCCTTGTTTGCTCAGCGCTCTAGCACTGCAGGCCGAGCCAGGGCGGGCCGGGCATCTCCTGGCCTTGCCCAAGCTCACAATCAACCCCGCAGCCCGCGCTCTCCTCAGCTTGCAAGCCTTAGACCTCCAACCTGCCCCCATCGCGTGAACAAGTTCGATCCCAAGCAGACAGATGATCCCCGGACCTAAAACCTGATCCCTAAACCCACCGTCAGGTAGGGCAGGCGCTCCAGATCAGCATAGCCAGGGGCGCGACCCCCCAGCACCGCGTCCAGCTCAGCCAGCAGCGCCGCCTCAACGTGGGGGTGCGCCGAGATGCAGTACAGCGCCGCGGCCGTGGTGGTGGCGGTCGTCTCGTGGCCTTTTCAGTGGGATTGGGGCGCAGGGGGGCCAGGGGGTGTGCGTCATGTGAGGCGGGCGGGCGGGGCTTTTTGGGGGACGTGGGTGATGATGAGCTGACGTCATCAAGGATCGGCTGCAGGAGCCCGTCCCTCTGAAGCACGCCAGCGCTGCATGGCCCCATGATTGTCGCAGCCGCGCGGCGGCGCGCTGGCTACGTTTCCTCGGCCCCCGCGCCCCCGCGTGATGTCACCCACCCGCCCCCATGACGTCATGCACGTCCTCCCACAGCTCCTCATCAGTCATGCCGCGCCCCTCGTCGTCGGCGGCCGTCAGCAGCACCCCCAGCAGGTCCTGAGGCACGGGGCGCCCCTCGCCCAGGGCCACGCGGCGCTCCTGGAAGTTGGCAGGGCACAGCCATGCACGGGGGACGGGTGCGTGGCTGTTTCGTCAGCCTTGCTGATAGGCCGAAAGATGGTCGATCCCTCACTCGATGCCAACACAGCGTGGCGCCACACGTTGAATATGTACACACGTCCATGCGTGCATGCTCGCCTGCCACCAAGGACACACTCATAGGTTTGATTTCAGATTGCGCCTGCCGTGGGAGTCTGCTGCCGCGCTCTGCCCTCCCTTCACCCTGCCCCAACTCCCGCCCTCCACCTCGCCTCACAGCCCCCTCAAAAGCTCTCCACGGCGCACCACCAGACCCGAGGGTCTAGTGGTGCGCTCCTTGAACGCACCTCCATCCCCCGTCCCCACCTGGATGACGTCCAGCATGGCGCCCCGCATCACATCGACGGCCTCGTGCAGGTCTGACAGGCGGCGGTCCCCCAGCCTTGACATCAGGCGCAGCAGGGGCATGGGCGTGATGAACACCTGGACACCAATGTTGGGGTTGTTGGCGGGGAGTGGGTGGGGGGAGCGCAGCAGCAAACAGGCGTCGCTTTTGAGCTGCTGCCGGCCGCCCAGAGGCAGGCAGGCCAGCGTGGCCTGCCGCTTGCCGTGGCTCGACAGACGTAGCCCACGGAGCCGGCCCAGCACGCCGCCACTCCCGCAGAGCTGCGCGCCCCGCCCTGCGGGCAGAGCGGGTGAACCCTGAGGCCCTGTTGGTGGGTGTGTCGTGCTGCCCACCTCTGCCAAGACCTCCCCAAAAGCGTTGACCGCCCACAGCAGCCGGTCGGTCGCCTGCACGCGCGGCGGGCGGCGCCCAGCCGAGCGCGGGCGCGTCACGGGGTGCTTGAGGTGTGGGGTCTATGGCCTGCTCGCGAGCGCATTGGCAAAACAGTCCTCCAGATACACCTGCACCTCGCCCCAACTGCTTGCGTACGTCTACTCGCCTGATTCACACGTTGATATACGTACACAATCCCAACTCCACACACACGCACACACACACACACACACACACACACACACA